AATAAATACAACAAAACTGGATCTTGACGGACTTGAACCCTGGGCCTTATCCATCCATCCATCCATCCATCCATCCATCCATCCATCCATCCATCCATCTATCATTATCTGTCTGTCTGTGTCTGTATCTGTGTCTACCTACCTACGATCAAATTTATATATCTCATCTCATTGTTTGGGGCAACCCCATACATTTCTTCACATATTTCTATTTCTTCTCTGTTCCCAAGTTCTCCACATTATAAAACAACTCGGGCTCAACTCTGTTTTCTGCAGGGGGAGGGGAAATTGAGACTTTCTGCCCCCAAACCAACAATGGCCTTTCCCCCCGCCTCCCACCCCCGATTCCCACCAGCCACCCATTGGAATCCGGGCTCACCTTATTGCCGTTGTTATACATGGCAACGAGACAGAGGAGGTGGTACATGTGCCCGCATTTCCCCAGTTTTCCTACCAGTTCCGGCTTGGCACCCTTGTGTCTAAGGATGCCCTCGTAGCCCGAGGAGGACACCAATCTCTCCATGCAGATGGTACAGTCCTGTTGGGGGAGGAGGGGAGAAACAAATAAGGGGTGTCAGCAATAACTAACAAGGAGGGAGGTTGGATTCCAGGAAGCTGCAAAGCACTGGGAGTAAATACCCTGTTTCCCTCAAAATAAGACCTCCCTGAATAATAAGCCCAATCAGGCTTATTATAGCAGGAAATCCTGCTTTCTAGCTAATATAAATCGCGCGACACAGCTGATCATTGGAAAAACTAGTTTGCCCGAACCGGTAGCATTTTCTTTACTACTAGTTCGGGTGAATGGGTTGTATTTTTACTACCAGTTTGGGCGAATTGGTCCGAACTCATAGCATTTTTTTTATGACCAGTTCTGGCGAATGTGTAGCATTTTTACGACTGATTTGGGCGTATAGGTAGCATTTTTACTACCGGTTTGGGTGAATAGGTAGCATTTTTGCAACCGATTTGGGTGAATAGATAGCATTTTTGCTACCGGTTCGGGCAAATAGGTAGCATTTTTACTACTGGTTTGGGCGTATACGTAACATTTTTACTACAGGTTTGGGTGAATAGGTAGCATTTTTACTACTGGTTTGGGCGTATACGTAACATTTTTACTACAGGTTTGGGTGAATAGGTAGCATTTTTACTACTGGTTTGGGCGTATAGGTAACATTTTTACTACAGGTTTGGGTGAATAGGTAGCATTTTTACTACTGGTTTGGGCGTATAGGTAACATTTTTACTACAGGTTTGGGTGAATAG